TTGCTAAAAAGCTTAAAATGAAGAGAAAATAAAGTATTCTACCTCATGAAAGTGTATATTGTTGTATATACTGTAAATAGACTTTATATAATAAAATACATTCATAACCCATATATAGTAAACAGTGTGGGACTTCACTATCACTGTATGAGGTAAGAATCAACAGCTTTTTATCACATTTACACAACACTTTATGAATACAAGTCATGAACAAATCTTAAATATGGCAGGGGATGTGTTTCCTTTTTTAGTTTTGATTTTGAGCAGCAAATTTGAAGTTATATGTTATGTTGGTGCTCACCAGGAATGCATAAGCAAAATTGCACAAATTTTCACTTGAAAGAATAGTGAACAATCTTGGGATTTTTTTCTGTTAAAGTTTCAAATAGTGTGTAAATTGAATACACTTCATCTTCAGCATGTTTCGTGCCACTTTTGTAAGTGGCCCCGCCCCCGTACCGCCAGCTCCCGTCTCGGCCACGCCCCTCTCCGCTTTTTTCATCACTAGCCACTCTCATCCCTGCTAAGAAGAAATGTAAAGATATGCCCGAGATACCAAAGTCATTGCAACACATTCCAACTTTGCATTTTCAATACAAAACATAAAATCAGCACCCTTAGCACTTTTTGACATAGGAAATTGTAAACAGCAACAACCAAGTACATTTTCCCACTTCCTACCAATGTAGCGGAGTTGGAGGATGACATAAAGTGACCAGCGATGAGTTAAAGTCACATGTTTTGCTACTTTCTGAACTCTTGTCACCAACTGCGTTTAAAGTTTAACGTTTAATATACTGTTTATCCCTCCTATCAAGCACACATCATTTCTGATCCCAAGCAATCAGCAAGTCAGTCTGCATACTTAAACCATAGCTTGATTCAGAGTGGTATAACCACTGATTTAAAGTACAAGCAACCCCACCCACTCCGCACCACAAGATCCCCTGTGCTACACGGTTAAATGCATTTTCCAAGTCCAGAAAGCATAGGGAGACCCATCCCCCTTCTTAAAAAGGGGCTCCACCATTCCGGTCTGTCAAGCCATAGGCACTGTCCCCAATGTCCATGCGATTTTGCAGACGCGTCTCAACCACGACAGCCCCAAAACATCCAGAACCTTTTGGAGCTCTGGGCGGATCTCAACTACCCCCGGGGTCTTGCCACCGAGGAACTTTCGAATCACCTTGACCTCAATCCTAGAGACAGGAAAGCCCATTTAAGAGACCCCAGACTCTGCTTCCTCATGGGAAAGTAAGTCATTGAGGAGGTCTTCGTTTTCTCTCTGTTGACGGTGCACAACTTCCCCCTCCTGAGACGCCAGATGGTGGACCAGAATTTCTCACTCAAACTCAATCTCTCCTGCCTCCCACGGGATGAGTGCGAAGTGCCGCATGTCCGTTGACATGACCACAAAGTCTATCATCGAACTTCAGCCATGATCTGGTGGAGACCCTTATGTCTGAACATGGTGTTTGCTCCTCGAGAAGTCGCTTTTTACAAAAGTGGCTGTTTTTTTCCTGATATATCTGCAATGCTAAAAATTATAAATGTTACTTTGACACAAAGGAAGCTTTATTTTAATAAACACGACATGCTTGGAAGCAAAAAAAAAATGCAATTTTTACAGGTACTGTACCTGTTTTTTGTAAATATTGCACATTGATGGCCAATCGCACCAACTAGCGTGGAAAAATACGATTCAGTCTGTTTCTTCTTCAGTAGTTGCTTCAGGTCTTTCCTGCGCACCGCTGTTAATATTGCGCCTCCACATTGGCGCAACACTGCAACTGCAGTTAAAATACATAGCTGCCTTAAAGGGACATCAATCGCTCAGTCAGCACAGCTGGAGCTTTATGCTTTGTTGAGTGATATCAGTTGGCCTGGCTGGGGGTGGCGCAAGATTAGCTGGAGGTGGCCTCCATGCAATTCTAAATGCAGGGAGTACTCTCTCTCTCTTTCTCTCTCTCTCTCTCTCTCCCCCCCCACCCCCCATCTATCTTCCTTCCTTGCTTCCTTCCTTCCACTGGCCGCCACTGGTTGCAGGTGAATTGTAACCTCTCCCTGCTGACTTTGAGTGAGAGGCTGGGTTCACCTGAACTTGTCAGCCAATTGCAGAACACGTATAGAATAAGAAGCATCAAGGCTCACATTCACACCTTGGGAGAGTATACAGTACATTACTCTACACACAGCACTCAGTGTTGGGTGTAAGGTGGCGTGTTAATTTTCGGTCTGCATGTAAACACCGTCACAATATGAAAAACATGTTGAAACTCAAATCTGAGTTCACAATCTCCTTACCTTCGAGAAGTAATATTTTTCTGTGCTATTTCGACCTAGAAATGTTCTTGCACCAAATCATTAAATGTCTTCATCACACACCCCGAGGTTATCACACATTCAACCATAGAGATGATTTTTCAGTCAGATGGTGTCCCAGTAGCTTGTAATTTATTGACAGTGGAAAATCGTATTTATTCCATCTGACCTTTTTCTGGAAATGCTTTCTGTGTTGTTGTGCATAGGGTTAATTTTAGACCCAGGGTCGATAACGCCGTTCCTCGAGGGCTGGTATCTTGGATGTTTGATATTTCTCCCTCCTCCATCACATCTGATTCAAATCATCAGGATTGTTATCCAGCTTGTGCAGAGCTTGCTGGTGAGCTGTTGCCCACCCCTGATGTAGATTTTTCAATGAACAACCAAACATGCATATTTTTGGAATGTGGGAGGAAGCTAGCGTACCCGGACAAAACCCACGGAAGCAGGGGGATCACTGTGAGGCAGACTTGCTTACCGCTCGTCCACCATTCTGACCTAGTCTCATGAAATCAAATACAAATATCTGATCCTTAACATTTTTCCAAATCTATTTTGGTCAAAGGAGAGACATACGCTACAGTTGATCATCAACAACACAATTTAAATGAAAATGTGGACTACAGCTCCCAGAAACATAATTCGTACCTGCCTCGCTGTGTTTTGTCAAAACTATACTTTGTCTTTTAAAGGCATAGTGCTCTTGCATTGGACATTGTTATATTGTGCAAGTGGTTGTAATGTTGTGGGTGGTTGGTGTATTTTCTGATTTGGGGTCACCTCATGATCAATATGTTACCTTTGTGTCAGAAACACGATGGCCGTCTTCCTATCCGGATAAAAGCGGTGCCTGAGGGCAAGATCATACCCAGAGGCAATGTGCTCTTCACTGTGGAAAATACAGACCCAAGCTTCTACTGGCTCACCAACTATGTTGAGGTAATTGATCTTTACATGTGTTGCCTTTTGTCAGGGGTCACCAACAGGTAGCCAGATGAGTAAGTAGGTGGGGGTCCTGTTCACCAGTGATGGGACAGGGTGATTTCATAGGACTGTGAAAGAATTGATCATTTTATAACTCAATTGCAAAAACTTTTAGAAATAAAATGTTGCAAATCATATTTGGATTTCCAACTGATGGTAATGTAAGAAATCATGAACAAGATCAGTGTCTTCATGTGAATTAATCATAATTTATATTCATTCATTCATTTTCTTCTGTTTGTCTGAGGTCGGGTTGCAGGGGCAGCAGCTTAAGCAGGGAGGTCAAGACTCTCCCTAGCCACTTCGTCCAGATCTTCCTGTGGGATCCCAAGGCGTTCCCATACCAGCCGAGAGCCAGTCTCTCCAGCGTGTCCTTGTTTGTTCTCAAGGCCTCTTCCCAATAAAACTTGTCTGGAGCACCATACCCTGAAGGCTTCCCGGCAGCATCCTAACAAGATGCCCGAGCCACCTCATGTGGCTCCTCTCAATGCGGAGGAGCAGTGGTTCGAATTTGGGCCCCACCTGAATGACCGAGCTTCTCAACTTATCTCTAAGAGAGCGCACAGCTACCCTGTGGAGGAAACACATTTTGGCTGCTCACAACCAGGACCTTATTCTTTTGGTCACAACCTACAGCTCGTGACCGTAGCTGAGGGTAGGTACCAAGATCAACTGGTAAATTGAGAGCTTCGCCTTTCGGCTCAGCTTCTACTTTACCACGACAGACCGATAGAGTCTGCATCACTGCAAACGCTGCAACAATCTGCCCGTTGATCTCCCACCCCTGCCTCCCCTCACTTGTGAACAAAGCCCCAAGACACTTAAACTCCTCCACTTGGGGCAAGATGCTTTGTTGAGTGATATCAGTTGGCCTGGCTGGGGGTGGCGCAAGATTAGCTGGAGGTGGCCTCCATGCAATTCTAAATGCAGGGAGTACTCTCTCTCTCTTTCTCTCTCTCTCTCTCTCTCCCCCCCCACCCCCCATCTATCTTCCTTCCTTGCTTCCTTCCTTCCACTGGCCGCCACTGGTTGCAGGTGAATTGTAACCTCTCCCTGCTGACTTTGAGTGAGAGGCTGGGTTCACCTGAACTTGTCAGCCAATTGCAGAACACGTATAGAATAAGAAGCATCAAGGCTCACATTCACACCTTGGGAGAGTATACAGTACATTACTCTACACACAGCACTCAGTGTTGGGTGTAAGGTGGCGTGTTAATTTTCGGTCTGCATGTAAACACCGTCACAATATGAAAAACATGTTGAAACTCAAATCTGAGTTCACAATCTCCTTACCTTCGAGAAGTAATATTTTTCTGTGCTATTTCGACCTAGAAATGTTCTTGCACCAAATCATTAAATGTCTTCATCACACACCCCGAGGTTATCACACATTCAACCATAGAGATGATTTTTCAGTCAGATGGTGTCCCAGTAGCTTGTAATTTATTGACAGTGGAAAATCGTATTTATTCCATCTGACCTTTTTCTGGAAATGCTTTCTGTGTTGTTGTGCATAGGGTTAATTTTAGACCCAGGGTCGATAACGCCGTTCCTCGAGGGCTGGTATCTTGGATGTTTGATATTTCTCCCTCCTCCATCACATCTGATTCAAATCATCAGGATTGTTATCCAGCTTGTGCAGAGCTTGCTGGTGAGCTGTTGCCCACCCCTGATGTAGATTTTTCAATGAACAACCAAACATGCATATTTTTGGAATGTGGGAGGAAGCTAGCGTACCCGGACAAAACCCACGGAAGCAGGGGGATCACTGTGAGGCAGACTTGCTTACCGCTCGTCCACCATTCTGACCTAGTCTCATGAAATCAAATACAAATATCTGATCCTTAACATTTTTCCAAATCTATTTTGGTCAAAGGAGAGACATACGCTACAGTTGATCATCAACAACACAATTTAAATGAAAATGTGGACTACAGCTCCCAGAAACATAATTCGTACCTGCCTCGCTGTGTTTTGTCAAAACTATACTTTGTCTTTTAAAGGCATAGTGCTCTTGCATTGGACATTGTTATATTGTGCAAGTGGTTGTAATGTTGTGGGTGGTTGGTGTATTTTCTGATTTGGGGTCACCTCATGATCAATATGTTACCTTTGTGTCAGAAACACGATGGCCGTCTTCCTATCCGGATAAAAGCGGTGCCTGAGGGCAAGATCATACCCAGAGGCAATGTGCTCTTCACTGTGGAAAATACAGACCCAAGCTTCTACTGGCTCACCAACTATGTTGAGGTAATTGATCTTTACATGTGTTGCCTTTTGTCAGGGGTCACCAACAGGTAGCCAGATGAGTAAGTAGGTGGGGGTCCTGTTCACCAGTGATGGGACAGGGTGATTTCATAGGACTGTGAAAGAATTGATCATTTTATAACTCAATTGCAAAAACTTTTAGAAATAAAATGTTGCAAATCATATTTGGATTTCCAACTGATGGTAATGTAAGAAATCATGAACAAGATCAGTGTCTTCATGTGAATTAATCATAATTTATATTCATTCATTCATTTTCTTCTGTTTGTCTGAGGTCGGGTTGCAGGGGCAGCAGCTTAAGCAGGGAGGTCAAGACTCTCCCTAGCCACTTCGTCCAGATCTTCCTGTGGGATCCCAAGGCGTTCCCATACCAGCCGAGAGACAGTCTCTCCAGCGTGTCCTTGTTTGTTCTCAAGGCCTCTTCCCAATAAAACTTGTCTGGAACACCATACCCTGAAGGCTTCCCGGCAGCATCCTAACAAGATGCCCGAGCCACCTCATGTGGCTCCTCTCAATGCGGAGGAGCAGTGGTTCGAATTTGGGCCCCACCTGAATGACCGAGCTTCTCAACTTATCTCTAAGAGAGCGCACAGCTACCCTGTGGAGGAAACACATTTTGGCTGCTCACAACCAGGACCTTATTCTTTTGGTCACAACCTACAGCTCGTGACCGTAGCTGAGGGTAGGTACCAAGATCAACTGGTAAATTGAGAGCTTCGCCTTTCGGCTCAGCTTCTACTTTACCACGACAGACCGATAGAGTCTGCATCACTGCAAACGCTGCAACAATCTGCCCGTTGATCTCCCACCCCTGCCTCCCCTCACTTGTGAACAAAGCCCCAAGACACTTAAACTCCTCCACTTGGGGCAAGATCTCATCCTTGACCTGGAGAGGCACACCACCCTTTTCTGATTGAGGACCATGACCTCCAATTTGGAGGTGCTGATTCTCATCCCAGTCGCTTCAAACTTGGTTTTGAACTGCTCCAGTGAGAGTTGAATAGTGCACCTTGATGAAGCCAACAGAACCACATCATCTGCAAAAAGCAGAGATGGAATTCATCAAACCAGACCCCATCAATGCCTTGGCTGTGCCTAGAAATTCCGTCCAACAAAGTTATGAAAGAATCGGTTAAAAAAAACAAACAAAAAAAAAACAACAAAGGCTGCCTCACTGGAAACTAATGAGACTTATTGCTGGCAATTCGGACCAAACTGTAACAATGGTCATACTAGGATCAAACATCCTATACTTGGGCATATGGTAGCCCATACTATCAGAGCATCGAACGATAGCCGATGGTGACCTGGTGGAATCCCTTATGTCTGAACATGGTGTTCATTATGGAAAATTCATCACGAGCATAGAAGTCCATTAGCAGAACCGATTAGGCAGGCTGTTCTCCTCAATCATGCCCTTCCAGGTGTCACTGTCATTGCCCACATCAGCATCGAAGTCCTCCAGCAGAATGATGGAATCCCCAGTGGGAACGCTCTTCAGCACCCCCTCTAAGGGAGGGTAGAAACCCTGAATTGATGTTTGGTGCATAAGCAAAAACAACATTCAGGACCTGTCTCCCCACCCAAAGGTGGAGAGAGGGTACCCCTTTGTCCACAAGGGTGAACCCAAATGTAACAGGCATCGAGCCAGGGGCCATTAAATAAACCCATTCCACTTCCCCACGTGGCCTCTTTGGGATATGCCCGTCCAGGCCCCATGGGTGTAGACGCGACCACCAGGTGCTTGGCAACGAGCCCTGTTTCCAGGACTGGTTCCAGAGGGGAGCGCCATCCGGGCCAAGGAATTCAAGTTCCAAATATTTCATTCAGTATAGGAGGTCTATCATATGTAATTTGTTTGGTCCCTCACCCAGCATCTTTTTACAATGGTTGACCCTGTCAGGGGCATAAATCCCCAGTCAACTTAGCTCCTAGTGTCATTGGGACACACAAACCCCTCTACCATGATAAAGTGACGACTCAGAGAAGGCAATCATAACATACCGTAAATTCCGGATTACAAGCCGCTACTTTTATCTTCCTTCCTTGCTTCCTTCCTTCCACTGGCCGCCACTGGTTGCAGGTGAATTGTAACCTCTCCCTGCTGACTTTGAGTGAGAGGCTGGGTTCACCTGAACTTGTCAGCCAATTGCAGAACACGTATAGAATAAGAAGCATCAAGGCTCACATTCACACCTTGGGAGAGTATACAGTACATTACTCTACACACAGCACTCAGTGTTGGGTGTAAGGTGGCGTGTTAATTTTCGGTCTGCATGTAAACACCGTCACAATATGAAAAACATGTTGAAACTCAAATCTGAGTTCACAATCTCCTTACCTTCGAGAAGTAATATTTTTCTGTGCTATTTCGACCTAGAAATGTTCTTGCACCAAATCATTAAATGTCTTCATCACACACCCCGAGGTTATCACACATTCAACCATAGAGATGATTTTTCAGTCAGATGGTGTCCCAGTAGCTTGTAATTTATTGACAGTGGAAAATCGTATTTATTCCATCTGACCTTTTTCTGGAAATGCTTTCTGTGTTGTTGTGCATAGGGTTAATTTTAGACCCAGGGTCGATAACGCCGTTCCTCGAGGGCTGGTATCTTGGATGTTTGATATTTCTCCCTCCTCCATCACATCTGATTCAAATCATCAGGATTGTTATCCAGCTTGTGCAGAGCTTGCTGGTGAGCTGTTGCCCACCCCTGATGTAGATTTTTCAATGAACAACCAAACATGCATATTTTTGGAATGTGGGAGGAAGCTAGCGTACCCGGACAAAACCCACGGAAGCAGGGGGATCACTGTGAGGCAGACTTGCTTACCGCTCGTCCACCATTCTGACCTAGTCTCATGAAATCAAATACAAATATCTGATCCTTAACATTTTTCCAAATCTATTTTGGTCAAAGGAGAGACATACGCTACAGTTGATCATCAACAACACAATTTAAATGAAAATGTGGACTACAGCTCCCAGAAACATAATTCGTACCTGCCTCGCTGTGTTTTGTCAAAACTATACTTTGTCTTTTAAAGGCATAGTGCTCTTGCATTGGACATTGTTATATTGTGCAAGTGGTTGTAATGTTGTGGGTGGTTGGTGTATTTTCTGATTTGGGGTCACCTCATGATCAATATGTTACCTTTGTGTCAGAAACACGATGGCCGTCTTCCTATCCGGATAAAAGCGGTGCCTGAGGGCAAGATCATACCCAGAGGCAATGTGCTCTTCACTGTGGAAAATACAGACCCAAGCTTCTACTGGCTCACCAACTATGTTGAGGTAATTGATCTTTACATGTGTTGCCTTTTGTCAGGGGTCACCAACAGGTAGCCAGATGAGTAAGTAGGTGGGGGTCCTGTTCACCAGTGATGGGACAGGGTGATTTCATAGGACTGTGAAAGAATTGATCATTTTATAACTCAATTGCAAAAACTTTTAGAAATAAAATGTTGCAAATCATATTTGGATTTCCAACTGATGGTAATGTAAGAAATCATGAACAAGATCAGTGTCTTCATGTGAATTAATCATAATTTATATTCATTCATTCATTTTCTTCTGTTTGTCTGAGGTCGGGTTGCAGGGGCAGCAGCTTAAGCAGGGAGGTCAAGACTCTCCCTAGCCACTTCGTCCAGATCTTCCTGTGGGATCCCAAGGCGTTCCCATACCAGCCGAGAGACAGTCTCTCCAGCGTGTCCTTGTTTGTTCTCAAGGCCTCTTCCCAATAAAACTTGTCTGGAGCACCATACCCTGAAGGCTTCCCGGCAGCATCCTAACAAGATGCCCGAGCCACCTCATGTGGCTCCTCTCAATGCGGAGGAGCAGTGGTTCGAATTTGGGCCCCACCTGAATGACCGAGCTTCTCAACTTATCTCTAAGAGAGCGCACAGCTACCCTGTGGAGGAAACACATTTTGGCTGCTCACAACCAGGACCTTATTCTTTTGGTCACAACCTACAGCTCGTGACCGTAGCTGAGGGTAGGTACCAAGATCAACTGGTAAATTGAGAGCTTCGCCTTTCGGCTCAGCTTCTACTTTACCACGACAGACCGATAGAGTCTGCATCACTGCAAACGCTGCAACAATCTGCCCGTTGATCTCCCACCCCTGCCTCCCCTCACTTGTGAACAAAGCCCCAAGACACTTAAACTCCTCCACTTGGGGCAAGATCTCATCCTTGACCTGGAGAGGCACACCACCCTTTTCTGATTGAGGACCATGACCTCCAATTTGGAGGTGCTGATTCTCATCCCAGTCGCTTCAAACTTGGTTTTGAACTGCTCCAGTGAGAGTTGAATAGTGCACCTTGATGAAGCCAACAGAACCACATCATCTGCAAAAAGCAGAGATGGAATTCATCAAACCAGACCCCATCAATGCCTTGGCTGTGCCTAGAAATTCCGTCCAACAAAGTTATGAAAGAATCGGTTAAAAAAAACAAACAAAAAAAAAACAACAAAGGCTGCCTCACTGGAAACTAATGAGACTTATTGCTGGCAATTCGGACCAAACTGTAACAATGGTCATACTAGGATCAAACATCCTATACTTGGGCATATGGTAGCCCATACTATCAGAGCATCGAACGATAGCCGATGGTGACCTGGTGGAATCCCTTATGTCTGAACATGGTGTTCATTATGGAAAATTCATCACGAGCATAGAAGTCCATTAGCAGAACCGATTAGGCAGGCTGTTCTCCTCAATCATGCCCTTCCAGGTGTCACTGTCATTGCCCACATCAGCATCGAAGTCCTCCAGCAGAATGATGGAATCCCCAGTGGGAACGCTCTTCAGCACCCCCTCTAAGGGAGGGTAGAAACCCTGAATTGATGTTTGGTGCATAAGCAAAAACAACATTCAGGACCTGTCTCCCCACCCAAAGGTGGAGAGAGGGTACCCCTTTGTCCACAAGGGTGAACCCAAATGTAACAGGCATCGAGCCAGGGGCCATTAAATAAACCCATTCCACTTCCCCACGTGGCCTCTTTGGGATATGCCCGTCCAGGCCCCATGGGTGTAGACGCGACCACCAGGTGCTTGGCAACGAGCCCTGTTTCCAGGACTGGTTCCAGAGGGGAGCGCCATCCGGGCCAAGGAATG